TGAAGGGGCTGTGGCCAGCCTGCAAACAGCCATCAGCCCCTCACCCAGGCTGGCCAGGCACCCCAGCAGGGACCCATCACCCTGAAGGGGGTGTGGCCAGTCTGAAAATGGCCCTCAGCCCCTCATCCAGGCTGGCCAGGCACCCCAGCGGGACCCCCAGCCTGATCCGGGACACGCTTCAGGGCAAACCAGACAACCCCCACCCATGCACCTGGCATATAATAAAAGGGTAATATGCAAATTGACCCTAACAGCAGAACGACTGGGAATGACTGGTCACTATGACACACACTGACCACCAGGGCAGACACTCAATGCAGGAGCTGCCCCCTGGTGGTCAGTGTGCTCCCACAGGGGGAGCTCTGCTCAGCCACAAGCCAGGCTGATGGCTGCCAGCACAGCAGTGATGGCGGGAGCCTCTCCCGCCTCCTCAGCAGTGCTAAGGATGTCCGACTGCAGCTTAGGCCTGGTCCCCGCTGGCAAGTGGACATCCCCTGAGGGCTCCTGGACTCCCAGAGGGATGTCTGACTGCCAGCTTAGGCCCGATCCCCCGGGGAGAGGGCCTAAGCCAGCAGGTGGACATCCCCCAAGGGGTCCCAGACTGCAAGAGGGCACAGGCCCAGCTGAGGGACACCCCCCCCAGTGCACAAATTTTTGTGCACCGGGCCTCTAGTAATAATAATAATAATAATAACAACAACAATAGATGGTTATAAAATGCTGATCAGATGCTGTGTTAAGTGCTTTACTTGTATTAACTCATGTAATCCTTACAACAACCCTAGTGAGTTGGGAATATTATAATCAGATTAGGAAACTAAAGCACAGAGAGGTTAAGCAACTTGCCCTAAGTCACACAGAAGAGCCGGGGTTTGAACCCAGAAAGCTAGCTCCAGAGGCTGTATTACCCAGCCTCTGAACTTCTGCCTTCTCTCTACAGAAAAAAAAAGTGGGAAAGAGACCTTTCAACTTCGGATGGAAACAAGGTCAGGGCACCAGGGTCTTGGATTGGGGGGGAGAAGGCCTCACTTCCTGGTATCCAGACTCCTTAGCAGCTCTCCCTGTGTGCTGAGTGGAGGGTGGAACCAACTAAGCCTGCCTCTCCGTGCCTGCCCCCTCATCTTACCTCCCATCCTGCCCTCCCCTGCCCATTCCCCATTCTGCCTCCTACCCTGCCCTCCATGCTTGTCTGCCATTCAGCTCCCATCCTGCTATGTCCTGGGATGGGGTGGGGGCGGGCCTACAATAATGAACAACCCCCACATTCCCAGAGCTGTCTCCAAGCCCCACAGCTCTTCCTCATCCTTATCCTTCATCGTCTCTAGACATTCCAGCCCCCAATCCAGTCCTGCTCGGTCTCCCAAATGCCCTCTCTCAGGTCTGCCCCAGAGAAAAATATTTATTGAGTGCCTACTGAGTATCAGGCTCTATTCTAGGATCTAGGTGCACAGATGTGAGCAAGGCAGTCCCTCCCTGCCTAGTGGAGCTCACAGCTTATCAGGGGAGACAGACAATCTATACTAATAGAAGAGTAATATGCTAATTAGATCAGGAGACCTTCCAGAGACCTTCTGGACGTCCTTCCGGACAAAGCCATGGTGGCGGGGCTGAGGCAGAGGCAGTTAGGGGCGATCAGACCAGGATAGGAGGGCAGTTGGGGGCGAGCAGGCCAGCAGGGGGGGGGCAGTTGGGGGCAATCAGGCACAGAGAGGTTAAGCAACTTGCCCTAAGTCACACAGAAGAGCCAGGGTTTGAACCCAGAAAGCTAGCTTCAGATGCTGTATTACCCAGT